GCTTCCACCCGCCCTGTTCCAAGGCCCTTTCGCCTCCCTCGGCCGTCAGCGGGGCCTGCTTCCTGCAGCCTGCCCTGCCGGCCTGAATGCGGGCAGCAAGGAGGGCGCAGGGCTCCAGGGCCCTGAGGAGAGCGCGGGATCCAGAGCAGGCCCACCCGCCCCGGCCCACTGTTCAGTACCAGCTCAGCCGCCTGCAGGTCAGGATTGGATTCAATTTTTATTTATTATAATTTGTGAGTTAGAACCACCACGACACAACACACATCTGGGGAAAGAAACGAAAGCTGGGGGAAAGGGGCTAGCAAACGCCCTCCTGCCCTACTCTTCCCCTCCCACCTCTCCTCTGCTCCTTTGTCAGAACCACAAAACCCTAAAGGTTGTTCCACTTGGAAAGGCCGGGGATAGGTACATTTCCGCAGCACCGAAATGCCACTTTTATGGCGCTGTTTGTCTCCCTGCGCTGGATTCTGAATGGGGCCGAACAAAACAGCAGCGCGGAGCTGGCTAGACGTCTGGGCTTAATTGTTTTATGGTTTAAATAAGGTGGACACTCTTTCCTTTGAAATCAGATTATAGGAATGTTTTGTCTATGGCCCACGGAGAACAGGACCTCACTGGCTGGGAGGGAGAGGTGGAGAGAGCGCGCGTGAGAGAGGGATGGGCTGCAAACCAGGGGGCAAACAGCCGGGAGAAGTCTGAGTCCCACCCCAAAGTCCAGCGGGCAGCGGCGGAATAGGCGGTGCGGGACCTGCAGCAGGGTAAGAAGAGCCAGGAGTTCAGGGTGCAGCCTTGGGCAGGTGGTTGCGGGAGCTTCAGAGCGTGCGTCGGCGTGCGCGGAGGTGTTCCCAGCCCAGAAATGCGCCTGAAGAGGGGAGGAGGAAGGATCGCGGCAGTTCCTTTGCATGGTGTCTCTTAATGCGGGAAGAGAAGGTTTCAAAAAGAGAGAATAGTGTGAGACCTTTGACAGGTTTATCTCGAGAACTTATAAAACAAAGGAAAAGCGGTCCCGGGGGAACTCCCTTGCAGGGACCCTCCTCCCCCTCCCCCATTTGGAAACTCCTTCCTGCCCCTTTTCACCTTAGGGCCAAGCCTGAGACCTGCTTGCTCTCTCCCTCGGCTTTTTCCCCAGCTGGACTGCATTGGAGAAAATGAACGCGAGGTGGCGCTGTTGTTCAATATTAGAGGCGGCGGCGGTGCCCCTGGCCGGCCTGGCCGCGCTGACATTTGAGGCCCGGCTCCTCCGAGCAGTGGCGACAAGGCCCCGCGCCCCGGTCCAGCCCGGCCCTACTGGCTGAGCAAATCAATCCTCTCACCTGCGAGGTGTAAATAAATCGCGAGCGGTGGCGGGAGATGGGCCCTGGCTCTGACAGCAGGTTCGCGAGGGAGGCGAGGGAGGGCGGGTGTCGAAAATAATCCCTTTGCGGAGGAGATAAGAACGAAGCAGGCAGCGCGTAATTAACACAAAAAGGCAGAATGACCCAGACAAACGAACATAAATCCGCGATACCTAGAAAGGCGGTGCAGGCCTCGAGGCGAGGGACAGAGACTCCCAAGCGAGGATGGCTGCTTGTGGTTCTTTATTTCCTGGCTCCCGAAGGGAAATCAACCAGTTACGTGTAAAAGAAAAAAAAATCAAATGAAAGAAAGGAAGAAAAGGCGAGGGACCCCCCAAAAGGGGAAACCAAGTCCGGCCAGGGTTTTCAGGACTGGTGGGCTCTCGGAGCCGGCGGTGGTGGTGGTGGTGGTGGTGGTGGTGGCGGCACACTCAGGACAGTCGCATTCCAAGACACAAAGACCCGGAAGAATAGCTGTGTGGCAGGGATTTCGCTGGACCATAAACTGTAGAGATATCCCCTCCACCCTCTAAAAGATAAGGTGCAGGCTCCAGAACGGACCCGGCCTGCCGAGCCTCCTCTTCCCAGGCAGGGAGGAGAAAGTATTTATGACAGTCCGGGTGATCAGATGCTGGGAGCCCAGAGTCCATCCGGATCCGCTCAGGACTGCAGAGCAGGCTCAGAGAAGGCAGGGCTGCAACCAAGGCTGGAGCGTGCTCTCCCCTGTCGTGTCCTCCACTATCCTGGGCCCTAGGGAGACATGAAGCCCTGGCACAGCCTTCCTCTGACCCTCCCCTCCTGCTGCTCCAGGGTCCATGGTCTGGGCTTCACAGAGTCTGGGCAGCCCCGAACTCAGATGGGGGTGGGTTTCTCTAAATTCAGAGGATAGAGGAAGCATCTCTTGCTTGGGCATCAGTGAATCTCCTTGGAGAATGTGGCTGAGGGTGGCCATTTCCCCAGAAATTATTTAGATAATAGAGGGGTGGGGTGGGGAGGCTCCGTTCTCTCAACACCATCCTCCCCTGCACTGCCATGCCTTCCTCCATACCCAGAGCTGGCTTCCAGATGGGGAAGAAAAAGATCTGGTTTCCTTCTGCCTCCTTCCTCATCCAGGATGTGGAAGCCTCAGGATGTGGACGGAAAATAGGTAGCAAATTTGTTCATGATGCAAAGAGCTAAAGCTGCGCGTGTATTTGTTAGGCATTGTTTTCCTATGTGCCTGGGTGTGCATGTGTGTGCACAGTATTTGTGAAGTGACAGGGGTGCTTCAAGGCATGATAGTTTAGTGAGCGTGCATTTGATGTTTTTCAGGGTGGAAGGTAGCATATACAGTATCTGTATATCCCCAGTGTACCTCAGTGTTGTCCTGTGTGTAACAACCTCACACACTGTACTGGGAGAGGGCCAGAAAAATCATTCTTCCTCTTCTTCATTCGTATGCACACAGCACACATATCTACAGCTCTCTCACTTTCTCCCTTTTCTCTCTGTCTGTGTTCAGCCCACATAACTGCACGCACATATGGCCAGAGAAGGGTGCATTAGAATTAACTTGCATGTACCCTGTCTTGGGGGTGAGGGAAACCGCCCAGAGAAAGTGTGGGTAAATATTTAAAGAGTGTCTGTTGACAGTTCTCATCCACATCCTGGCCTGGGCAGCCTGCCTGGGGAAGTGGGGGGGTGAGGAGAAGCCATGGGATGTCCAGGGCGAGCTGGCATTTCTTATGATGGGGTCAGGGTATGTGGGCTTAGGGTATGTGGGGTCAGGGTATGTGGGGTCAGGGTATGTGGGGACAAGTGAGAGGCCTGCTCCAGCCTCCTCCAACCTTGATACAAGTAGCCTCCTGAGAAGAAACATCCTGAACCAGCCCAGCCAGAAGCCAGAGATCCACCAGCTGCCCTCTCCTCTGTCCCCACAAGCAGCTTTGCGCTCAGAGCCCCCAGCCAAGCTCCTGGCCATTGCCTGGGCTTCCTGCGTCAGGCAGGAGCTGGTGTCTGAAGGGGCAGTGCGGCCGGCTGGCTGGGTGTATGCAGGGACCCCACCTCTTCTGCACCCACAGCGGCAGCCAGAGAGCCTCAAGGACCTGGGAAGACAGGGCAGCCTCCCACCCAGGGGAGGGGCAAGAGGCATGGCGCTGTCTGATGCCTGGAGTGTTTGGGGATAGGATGTGCTTGTTCCTCCTCAAAGTCTCCAGACTTAAGGACCCCATAGCATTCCGCCTCTTGGTTCAGGGAACCTGCTCTCCCTTGCTGCGTCCGTCCCCTGGGGCCCTTATCCCTTTTGAGGTCCCCAGAGTTGCCCTGCTGGCTCAGGTATCTCTCTCAGAGAGGAAGGAAAAGAGAAGGGGGGGGAGAGGCCCCTTCAGATCTGTCTGCGCCCCTGGGAAAAACTCCCCCCACCCATTAGCTTGGGCTGGCTCCCCCCCCCCCCACACACACACACATATACACCACACCCCCATCCCTCCCCCTTCCTCTCCTCCCTCCAGGTCCCCCCCAGCTCTGAACCCCTCAACCCCCCCACCATCCCTTCCTTCTCTCTCTCTCTCTCTCTCTCTCTCTCTCTCTCTCTCTCTCTCTCTCTCTCTCTCTCTCCTC